CTGGGCACCATAATGCTTCTTGAATCTGCAGTTTGATATCTTTAACCAATTTTGGAAAACTTTTTCTAATTTTCTTTCAAATATTATTTCTTCCTCATTTTCCTCTCTCCCTTCTTTCTGGAGCTCCAATTACAATGTTAGATTTTCTCACCTTAGCCCATATTTCACTTGGATTTTTTTTCTGTATTTTCTAAACTTTCCTTTGTGTTTCAGTCTGGATATTTACTTCTTATCTCTCTTTCAGTTCATTGGTTTGTTTCAGCTGTGTCTATTCTGATGTAAAATGTATCAAGTGAGCTCTTAATACAGCTCTAAAATTTCCATTTGTTAATTAATTTCCAATTCTTTGTCAAGAATATCAATCTTATCAATTAATTCCTTGCACATGTTAATTATTATTATTATTTTAAATCTGATGATGCAGTGGCACATGCCTGTAATCCCAGTGACTTGGGAGGCTGAAGCAGGAGGACTGCAATTTCGAGGCCAGCATCAGCAACTTAGCAACACCCTGCCTCAAAATTAAATATAAAAAGAAGTGGGGATGGGGGCTGGGGATGTGGCTCAAGCGGTAGTGCGCTTGCCTGGCATGCGTGCGTCCTGAGTTTGATCCTCAGCACCACATACAAACACAAAGATGTTGTGTCTGCCAAAAACTGAAAAATAAATATTAAAATTCTCTCTCTCTCTTAAAAAAAGTGGGATGTAGCTCAGCAGCAAAGTGCTCCTGATACAATTCCTAGTACCAGAAAAAAATCTGATGATTAATATTGGAATTTCCTATGAGTTTAGCTTTAATATCACTCTTTCATGTTGGTTTTCATTCCTGTCTTGTTTTGTTTTATATGTGTGACTATTTTTGAAAAGTAGACATTACATATGGAAATTTTTAGAGATAATCCATGTAATGTTGTCTTTTACCAAGAAGTGGTTTACTTCTGTTTCTGAAAGGCTAGTAGCATTAGCAATCTCAAATAATATCAATTCAATCAGAGTTTCATATTATTTTAATCTTTAGGATTTGACTCTTCACAGTCCCAATCCTAAGTCTGGTATTTTACCAATACTCATCCCCATTCTTGGCAGCACCTGACTCCATTTTTTTCACTCCTATCTTTATGAATCTATAAAAAGTGCTGCTTAGCCTCTCAGATCCTCCTTTCAGAACCCATGGATATCATTAGGGGATAAGCAACCCCAAATATCAGGCTTAACTCTCAGGGCTCCCTTTCTCTATTCTATCTTGGTCCCATAATTTATCACTTCTCTAGTAACCTTCTTTCTAGTCCCTCTGAATTTCATTTCATTTTTCTAGCTGTTTCTCAGTAGAATGATGTGTTTGAAATAACACATTCCACCCATGGCATGTTAAACTCTCCTTCATGACCCTTTTTGTCCCAAGCTGTCCAAGGTATTAAGTCTACTATTCTGTGCATGGTTGTCAGTGTGCTCTTACAGATCCAAATCTATCCAAACTTGAACACACATTTTGGGCTTAACTTCAACTAAAAGCTACATGATATTAAATAAGTTATAGAGGTTTCTGTAATTAATTCATAAAATAAGTCTAGTAAATCTACTTCACAGGGTCAGTACAATCCTACTATAATAGCAGTTAGGACTTACTGAGCATTATCATCACTATTAGTTCTATTAAAAATAATATGTAAGTCAACCTATGTTTGAATCTGATCAATTTTCATTCTGGTAAAATATATATACATATTTTTAACTTCAAAGCTTGGTCATGCTGTTCCTCAATTTTCCCTTTTCCTAATGCCATCCAATACATGCTGTAAAGTCCAAATTAAGATGAACTTCTACTATAACAGGCATGGAAAAAAAATCCATACTGATATGGACTTGTTCTAATTCCCATCCACTTAACAGGACACAATTATCAACTACTCCCTAATTTTCTGTTGTTCCCTTTCCAAAACTAGACTATAAAGTACTTGCCAAAACAACCAATAAAGTTTATATCCTTTATAATATAATAATATCAAACATATTAGAGGTTCTCAAAACATAGATGTACCTCAGTATAGAAAAGGAAAGTTCTTCATTTGTGATAGGTACATTTGAATACTCCAAAGAACACAGAATAGAGGAGAGGTACAGAGGTAAAAGAAAAGGAAATAAAAAGCACATCATAGAAAACTTTTGTGAAAAAGTATTTACTTAAAATCTTCACTGTAAACCTGACTTCAATTAACCTAGTTGCATTATTTAAATATGATAATTCAAATTGAGATAGGTAGGAACAAGAGGGGAATACACTCTTGAACCTTTATCCATAACCTATTACCTCCTAAAATCTTTCCCTACTGTCCCCAACTTCAACAATGTTTGAACTATGCCCTTCCTTACCCTTTTAATCAAATTCTACCACAGAAACAAGATGATACCAAGATGTCTCCAAGGATCTTCCACAAGAAACTCCAAAAAAATTGACCATACTTATGACTAGAGGAAAAATACTACAGTCCTACCTCAGCTTCGCAATGTAATGCTAGCTCCTTTCTTTATTCATCCTGAATTTTCTCTTAATCAGTTGCTGTTCCCTTTTCTCTTCAAGGAGAAACTACCACTGCTTTTATCTTCCCAATTAAAGCCTTGACCGTGTGTTCATAATCTTTGACCCAGTTTCATTTCTATTGTCACTGGGTCAGGAGTTCCCATCTCTGGTATCAAAATTCCAAAGTTCCATTTTTACAATTCAAAATTTAGAATTTAATAGGCACTTTCTGGTTCCCTGAATAGGCCCTTCCTTTCACTAGGGGAAAAAAGTAAAATTCTACTGTGAATTCTTTTATCATTTATGTTCTCTCAGCATCCATTTTAAATATGTTTAACTTCTCATACAGGGCTTAGTCACCTTTGACACAATTTCTAGTTCAACACCTTATCTTGGTTCCTGGACATAGGTGATCCAGATATTTGCCTTATATCACTTTTTCCTGGTGTCCACCTCCCTAAGGGACAGTACATATGGCCAACTTGACTGGCCCCACTGACCCTCATGCCCCACATGGTCTGTACAAATATGCCAGTGACCACCTTTCAGTAAGAATGACTTCTTTAAACTTGTCCTTGTATTAAACCCATAAAACAGAATTCCCCACAGGCAATCTCTTTGAAAAAGTTTTGGATACAATTATGGTGTTGGCCCATAGGTCCCTCCCTATCTCTCCCTGCCTAAGTTATCTGATCTCTATGAGTATGGCCTCCAGGCATGTGTATCCCCAGGGGCCAGAAATAAAAATATCATTATTTCTATCTTATGACTCTCCTAATCATTTAAGGGGTACTCCCCATTTTAAAGATCCTAAGTCACAACAAACCCTAACTAGTTCCAGAAGTTAGCTAATATTAATATACGAAAAATATTCCCCTACATACCAGTTATTAAAATTATAATAGTTTTGCTTTATTTATTAAAAAAAACCAGCTCATATAAAAAAAACAGTTTTTACCCTAAGTGTTAAAGTCTTTCATTTGGATTAAACTATCATTACAATTATGAGTGAAAAATTGATAAAAAAAATAAAGTATGTTCAAAATTTTGATAGGTAATTATAATTCAAAACTCATGTCTTCATGAGCTAAATGGCTGCTCCTCCTACAATTACTTCATATATTCAAGAATGAAAATAACCAACTGCTAGAATAAAGAAGATTCAACCTAAAAAAAAAAAAAACTGCTCATGACACTGAGAAAAAAAGGTTTTAAAAAATGGACTTTTATGTGATAGAATCTTTGGTTACAATTCTTTGAAATTTTTTTGAGTATTTTTTATCACAAATATAGAACATACACTAAATGTTTTCTTATAAACATTAACATTTAATATCTTAATTTCTTTTAAATATTTTTATTAGTTATTGATGGATCTTTATTTTATTCATTTATTTATATGTGATGCTGAGAATCGAACCCAGTGCCTCACACATGCTAGGCAAGCACTCTATCACTGAGCCACAACCCCAGCCCAATATCTTAATTTCTTTATAAAAGAATTTATGGTACTCTTACAATATACCCTTTTCACATACCTTTTGCTTTAATATTTCTTTATCCCAATTAAAACTAATGTAACTATATTACTAAAATAACTATAAAGTAAAAATAGCTCACTCTAGTTGGGTGGGGGTGCAGACCTGTAGTGCCAGCACTCAAGAGCCTAAGATATCCAGACCAGCCTGGGCAACATAGCCAGAGCCATTCTCAAAAGGAAAATAAAGGCCTACTTTATAAATCAATCCCATCTCTGACAATTTCTACTTCATTCCCTATCCTACAACCTGTTATTTTACTGATTAAAAAAAAAATTGTGCTTTGCTATTTCTGACAGAAGTGTTTTAATGATTATAGACTTAGAACACAATTTTCCTTTTAGGAAGTGGCAGTATCATTCAGTGTTCACTAATTATTACATGCTAGAAAAATAACCCTGGTCATATATATCTAAGATGTGATATCTAAAATTAATATATTTGAGATTTGAGTTGTTTAACCCATGCCAAAATGGCAAAATTTGTAGCATAAGCAGCTAAAATTATGATATTTCATTTTTTATAACCTCAGAAAAGTAATTCAGATTCTTAAAGGAAAGAAGAAGTACACAAGCGCTTTATAGATAGGTGACTATGAACATTTGTAATTTTGATTTGAGGGTAGGAAGATGTGGAATCTCATTTAGATATAATAAAAACAGGAATTATAAAAGAGTTCTGGTAATAGTCACCCATTTTTGTAATACAAATAATCAACAAAAGGAAAGAATATGAGAGAAAGTTAATTCAATGTGTGAATAAGTATGATCTGAATATTATAAATATTATAAATAAATAATATTATAAATAAATATTCAGAATTCTTCTACTCATTCCAGATTATATAAAACATGACGACATACTTTTTTAGCAAGATATTTTAGTGTGACCACATTTGTAAGTGGAAGAGGCCCTGTACTTGACCTCCAAGCATAATGGCTTACCCACAGCATTGTAGAGAGGCTCTCCTGTTAACTTGTCCCAGACTACAGTGGTTTCCCTCTGGTTGCTGACGCCAATAGCTTTAAAGCAAAAGTTAGAGAGAGTAGAAAATTAAACAAATAGAAAACTGCTTTAGGAGAACAGATCTCAAGTTTTTTTATAGGCACGACTAAACAAACAATTTCCCCCAAAATTTTGGAAGATTTGTAGTGGTATTAAATTTGTTTTCATTGAGTGGCCCTAAGAAAAACAAACACATAATGTCAAGTTTTTCTTTTTATTTCTACATATGCCTTGTAGCTTCAACACTAGCACATAGATATAGAGTCAGTTAAGTACCCAAAGGAAAGGCTCCCAGATTGCTTTAAGGAATGCAATAATTTTCCAAGTTTATAATACCTAATTTATTATTCTGAGCAGACCAACATTTACCTCATTCATTTATTTACCAATTGGTATAAAAAATTTCCCTTCCCATATGTGTGTGGTTGTGTACACGTATGAAAATGCGTGGGTGCAGACCTGAATTTTAAGAAATAGCCCAGACAAAATCCTGCATGCTGAGCAACCTCATATTATCATTGGTTTGAAATGAAGTTTTACTTCCATATTTTAATAATGTGTCACAAAACCTAAGAGTTTGAATTAGGCGCAAACATAATATGTAATGGCATTTACATTATACTAACTACACATAACTCAGGTGCTATATACTTACAATAACTTAATAAGTAAAGTATAAATCTCTACCATCTTATTCAGATCCATTTGGTTCTGGTAAATCAGAGATTGTCAGACTTGGCTGTACTTTAAAATCAACTGGGGAGCTTCTTAAAAACAAAAATCAACGTCTAAGCCCTGGTCAAAACATTCCAATTTAACTGATCTGGGGTGGGATCTGAACATTGGTATTAGTTCCTATAACTCCCTAGGTCATTCTAACATGCATCCCAGGTAGAACACTCTGAGCCAAAGAATGGAGCACTTCCTGAATTTAAGACGAGGACAGACCTTAAAGGTTATATAATCAGTTACACTTTTATGCACAAATCTCCTCTAAAATCATCTGTCATGATCACAGACTGTACTTCTGGTAACAAGATACTACAGCTCTCAAGGCAGACCAATCTCTACTAGACAACTTTGGTATTTAAAAAAAAAAAAAAATCCTGAGGCTTAGTGGTAGAGCATTTGCTTAGGATTTCATGAGGCCCTGGATTTGATCCCTAGCACCACAGAAATCAAATTTAAAAACCCTTTTCCTTGTGGCTTCCACCTACAGATCTTAGCCATATTCATTGGAGATATTTAAAATATAAAGTTAATCTTCCTTCCATATGCCAATTTTTCAAAAACTTCAAGTAGCTACTTTGTACCTTAAGTCTTCTCTTCCACTGTCCAGGCTAAACAATCCAATTTCCTCAGCTGCCTCTGTTTCCACATAACAAGTTCCTTTACTATAGCTCCTGGGAATATACAACTATCTGTCCATATCATTCAAACTGTAGACGCAGAATAAAATACAATATTCTAGCAGTGTTTGGAGTAGCTCAGAGCTGAGGATGACCATCAGTTCTCTTGGTCTAATACCATTTATCCAATGTGGATTTACTTGCTTCATTTGACATCTTTTGTAGAGGTACAAGGTACAAAGATGATTGAACTTCTCTTCCAAAGATACTTAGAGGCATAAGTTAAAGGCAAGAGATCCTGGGTTAGTTGGTTATAAAAACAGGAAGAAAGAAGAGACAATGAGGACTGAGGCTGAAATTCAAAGGGACATGGTTGTGATGTGCAGAGACAGGAGGTGGCATGAATAGCACAGGTGGAGGGAGGAGCCCCAAGTGGGACAGAATCTATTTCCCTTATGATTAAGGAAAGGGGGCACAGGGGGGCACGAAATCCACACATTAAGTACAGAAATAAGAAATGAAGGAATTAAGGTCCTAGAGCCTCACCTTTCTCTGTGAAGTAGGAGGCAAGGTTATATACTAAAATGAGGCCAAGCAAAAACAGTATCAAGAGTTTGGAGCAGGGCTGAGCATGGTGACACACACCTGTAATCCCAGTGGCTCAGAAGCAACAAGTTAGGAGGAGTGTGAGTTTAATGCCAGCCTCAGCAATTTATCAAGGCCCTAAGCAACTCAGCAAGATCCCATCTCTAAATAAAAAATATAAAATGGCTCAGAGGTTGAGCATAACTGGGTTCAATTCCTGGTACAAAAAAAAAAAAAGTTTGAGGCAGTCAGGATAGGTGATATACCTGTAATCTCAGCTACTTTCAAGGCTGAGGCTGAGGCAGGAGAATCTAAAGTTTGAGGCAAGCCTGGAGAATTGACGGAGACCATGTCTCAAATGTCTCAAAATTAACTAAATAAAAATGGCTAGGGGTGTAGCTCAGTGCCTAGCATGTGCAAGACTATAGATTCAATTTCCAGTTATACAAAGAAAAAAAAATTGGCAGGGGTTTGGGGCTCTTCAGTAGAATTTAGGCTCTGAAGCCAGACAGTTGAGGTTCAAATTACAATTCTGAGTTTCCTATTTTGTTTTCTGTCATAGTTTTGTCTCCTATAAAATGAAGGGGCAAAAAAGTTCCCACCTTACTGGGTTATACTGGTGAGTCAATACATGTTAAAACAGATCCCTGGCACATAGTAAGTACTAAATATTACCTACTGCAGTTGCCATTATCATCATTACTGAGGAGAGAGTGACATAACAGTTGCAGAAAATGGGACAGAATTAAGCAGACACATAAAGGAATTTCCCAGAAGCTCTGTGGGTACAACAGTGGGACTTTGGCAGTAGGTTGCTACAGTGGAGTTTTGTAAACTTGTTAATTTAGTGACAACTTTTCAATGCAAAATCATAATAAATTATAATGGTAAACTAAAGTCTCCTATTTTCTCCTTACTACATTAATTTTCCTGTAAACCAGCTGGCTGCTCCCTTAGCTACAATCCTTGAGTCACCATTAGGACAGGCATCAAATAGTGCTACCTTCTTTATTGGCTCCTCCTGACTTGTACACAGATTCTAATCTACAGCTATTTCCATCTGATTCTTTGGTCATGTGATCCTCCCCGACTACTCAATCTCCTCTATCTTAATTCTATTCTTTCATGCCAAGTAAAATTGCTTTCCTTGCAGACAATCAAAGTCCAGCAAAATAGCTTCTCAGTATTCTTTTCAGCCAGCACATCCTTATTACCCATTTCTCCCCAAGGCACACAGGTCTTTTGCAATGACTGAGTTTTTCCAAACCTCTTCCTATTTTACCCTAAAATCTGTCTTTTAAAAAAACTTTTATGACTATTAATCCCAATGTATATGCCATTTTTAATAGCTCCTAATTTTAATCCCCTTTCTCAGAATAATATATGCAAGTTTTGTAATTCTCCACCATAGTTCATCTGCACCACATAGAGGCAGGCGAAAATTAACAGGTTAAAAAAATAAACCCCAAAAACTTTATACAGTTTCATATAGAAGATATGTACTTGGGCTGGGGCTCAGCAGTAGCACACTTGCCTAACCTGTGAGGCACAGGGTTCAATTCTCAACACCACATATAAATAAATAAAATAAAAGGTCTATCAACAAATAAAAAATACTAATAATAAATGCAAAGGAAGAGAAGGCTGGGAGTGACAGAAATGTGTAAATGTTGGGTAGGGTAAGGCAGTGAAGGAATGGATTTGTGAGTTTTCCTTTTCTCAGAACAAAGTAACTGCTTTAGGTACAAGAGAATTTAATTCTTTAGAATTCTGTGCCTTTATTACTAACACAGTTTATGTTTATTTTGCTTTTTTGCATGAAAGAGAATGAATGAGGAATATTTGCTATTGTAATTCTTTATACTTGCTGATTCTTTAAGTCCCATGACACAGGTGCTTGACTGAAAGTTGAGAGGAAAGAAGCAGAATATTTTCTTGCTTTGGGCTAGAATGTGCAGTTAAATTTGAGAATGAATTTTAATTTTGAGGACATTGTTCATAGTAATCTGAAATCAACACTTTTTGAAAGATGAAGACAACTAAAACCAATGAAGCAGGAATTTGTGAAGGAAATACAACCAGATATGTATGATGAGCTCTGTTAATAATTACTAGGTAAGACTATAAATGGCATCACTCATCAGCTGGCAAAGCCAATTTACCTGCCACACAGCAAATATATAAATAAATGGTTTTTGAGATTATCATCAGCATAGCTCAGGGGAAAAAAGCACTGGTCTAGGAATTACAGGAGCTGTACTTTAATGCTATTGAACACTAAACAGCAGCATGATCTCTAGTAAGTCCCCTTCCCTCATTGTAGCTCGAGGAAATTGGTCTATATTAGTGAAGATCTTTAGAGCTTTAACAATTTGAGATTTAGATCTCTACACAGGAAAGTGAAAGCTTGCCCATTGGCAATGCCAATTCAATAAATTATCAGAAGAAAAGATTAGTACAACTGGCCTGGTATAGAGGGGCTTGTGAGACACTTTTCATCCTTGGCCATAGGCTGGTAATTATGGAGAATAAAAAATGCTGGGTCACCTTGGCTCAGGTAGGGGTTTCACGTTGGCCAAAGAAAGAGGAGTGTAAAGAAGAGGGCTTCATGTTCAATTATAGACCAGTTAGTGCAAGTGGAAGACAAGTCCCTTGGGCAGTTGTGTACATCTTCATATAAACCACACACACACAAAAAAAAAGTGGAAAAATGAGTGGCACCCGAGTGGGTGCAGAAGGAATAACATATTACAGCCCAACTTACCTGTAAGGAAGGTAGAACAATGTCAATGCATAGTCAGTCCCCCTGTACTCCACATTCTGAACATGACTTTAAGCCACGTAGATTACCTATGTCTTGGGAATGACTATTTTGACAGTGTTTCTGAATGCCTATTATTTATCTGCATTGCTTAGAACGCGAGAGATGTAAACATAGCTTTAAGAAATGATCAAGAGCAATCACTTTGATGTACAACTCATCTAAAATTTGGTGATTGCAACTCTTAAGTTTGAAGTACCCCAAATTAGATGTAGGGATAAGACAAGTGTACGATTAAAACATGAATGATCCCCATATGAGGCACACACCCATAATCCCAGTGACTTGGGAGGCTGAGGGAGGAGGTCACAAGTTTGAGGCCAGCCTCAGCAATTTAGTGAGACCCTGTCTCACGATAAAAAATAAAGGGCTGGGGATGTAGTGGTAGAGGACTTCTGAGTTAAATTCCCCATACCACAAAAGATACATGATATTAAAAACTGCTAATAGCCAAGCACAGTGGTGTACACCTGTATTCCCAGCATCTTGGGAGGTTGAGGCAGTAGTGTCATGAGTTCAAAGCCATCCTCATCAATTTAGTGAGGCCCTAAACAACTCAGTGAGACCCTGTCTCTAAATAAAATACAAAAAAAGGGCTGGGGATGTAGCTCAGTGGTTAAGCGCCCCTGGGTTCAATCCCTAGTACTAAACAAACAAACAACAACAACAACAAAAACCTGTTAATAAAATTTCAAATTGTACCTACGTGTTTCTATTAAAACTCTGTAATAACAGAAGCTACTATTGTTCTGATTGTTCATTCATTGTGATTATAAGATTAACATGTTTCCCCCATTTGACTGTTAACTACATGACTCTATTTGTGCCCCCACTGTATACCTAGGTGTACACTGTATAAGATAGGCTTTCTACAGACTTGCTAAATGATGTGATTATGCATAGTCTTTATTTTTAAATGAGTTTCTATTTATACAAATATGGGAAAGTCTCAGGAGTGAAGGCAATTCTTAGAGCCAAGATGATGTGAATCAAGGCACCACTACTATGGCCAAACTAAGAAGATCAGAACTATCCTTGAATGGTCAACTTGAAAAACATAGCTATAAAAAAGCAATTACCACATCATGCTTCTACCCTTTATGCTGTTATATCAATCTTGGATGACTGCATTATTTTCTCTCTCTGTGTATGAAAATCAAATGTAGATATTCTACTAAAATACTAGGAATTCAGACAGAACTGTTATAATCTCAAACTTTTTTTGGGGGGTACCAGAGATTGAACTGGGGGGGGGTATCCGACCACTGAGCATATTCCCAGCCCTATCTTACATTTTATGTAGAGACAGGGTCTCACTGAGTTGCTTAGTGCTTCACTGTTGCTAAGGTTGGCTTTGAATTCACATTATTTCTGTCTCAGCCTCCTGAGCTGCTGGGATTACAGGAGTGTGCCACTGTGCCTGGATAATCTCACATTTTCAAGTAATTATTTTTAAATATTTATTTTTTAATTATAGGTGGACACAATAATTTATTTTATTTTATGTGGTGCTGAGAATCGAACCCAATGACTCACACCTGGCATGCCAGGTGAGCGCTCTGCCTCTGAGTTACAGCCTCAGCCCTCAAGTAATTATTGCAAGGAAATTTTATAAGCAAAGCATTTAGATTTCAAACACCCCTCCCCCAACCTGCTCCTTTAGTTTTTCTCCCTTTAATAAGAGGTCTATCTATCCAGGTCCCATCTACTCAAGACCTCCAGGAAAAAAAAAAAAACCCAAGCATTAAGGTGGGGGTGTGACTCAGTGGTACACCGCTTGTCTAGCATGCATGTGGTCCTGGATTTAATACTCAGGACTACAAAATAGAAAAAATAAACAAGCATCACCTTTGACTCATCTCTTATCTTTCTTATCTTTTTTTTCCCCTTACTCTCTCTAATACCCAATATCCAATCTATCAGCAAGTTCTGGCTCTTCTTCCCCACCTCTGTGTTGCCACTGTTGGGTCAAGCCACCATCCTCTTTCAGCCTCTATATTGGTCTCTCTGTATCTGCACTTAAACCCATATATGGTCTACTTTCCACAGAGCAGTTGGGGAATTGTCTTTCAAGTGCAAGCCATCCCTAGCCACCTTGCTTAGAATCTCCTAATGGCTCCTTATGATGCTAAGAATAACAAATTACTAACTACAGCTGACAAGGCCCTACCCACTTTCCTGAGTTTAATTCCTACTGAAACACCTACTCAGCCACTCTCACACCTGAACCTTCTGTTACTGTCCTTTTGACATGCTGGCCTTCTTTCTGACCCTGGAATGTCCTAAGCTCACTCTCACCTCAGGGTCTTTGCATATGCCACTTTCTTTGCCTTAAACACTCTTTCCTCCCAAATAGTCACATGACTGGCTGACCCCTTATAGCCTTGGAAATGTCAGAAAGTGTAGTCTCCTTTATACCCAACCTCAAGTAAGCCCCTCTAGGTATACCCCACCACATCACTTAAGTTTTATTTTCTGCATGGAGTTTACTGGTATCTGAAATTAGCTTCTATTTGTCTGCTTTAGTTGTCTTACCCCCCACACACACACACCAAAATAAAAGCTCCAGAACAGGAACTTAAATCTTCCTATTCATAACAGTTGTAACCTCAAGTTTCCAAAGAAATGGCTGGCCCTGCGTAAGTACTCATTGTGAGCTGAAAAATGAATTAATGAATCCAACTGAGAGTCATACCACAAAAATATAATATTCCATTAAAATACCTTTTATGTTGGAAATATCAATATTGAGCTGTCCAAGTTTCTCACATGTTTTCTCTATGCATTCATAGACAGACTGCAGAATTTCCTTAGGATCTTGTTCCACCCATCTTTAAAAAAAAGGATGTGTTTGGTTAAACCATAAGAAAGCAATATAATTGTAACTAATTTCTACAAAAATGTTAACTTATGAATGTGGCTGGTGCATAAACAAAATATATCTATATCCCATAGTCTAAAAAAATGATTTAAAGAAAAGCTTTCCCTTACATTTTTATTATTCTTTGCACAGCAATCAATCATTTTAAAGGAGACCATTTTTTCAAGTCCAAAAATAAGATGTATTAGTTCCCCAATTCTTTATATTCTGTGGGTTTGATGAATTTTGATAAACTATCTTCATGTTTCATTAGTTACTTCTAAGTAGATGAAAATACATTATTCTTATAAATTATATATTTTGGAATCAAAAGGAACTCATTAGTAATATATTTTTTGGGGGGTACCAGAGATTGAACTCAGGGGCACTCGACCACTGAGCCACATCACCAGCCTTATTTTATATTTTATTAGAGACAGGGTCTCACTGAGTTGCTTAATGCCTTGTTAAATTGCTGAGGCTGGCTTTGAACTCATGATCCTCCTGCCTCAGCCCCCACCTGAGTTGCTGGGATTACAGGTGTGCGCCAAACACGCCTGGCATATAGTAATATTATTTGCCACACTTTTTCCCCAAAATGTTTTGTTGAAATTTAGGAGAAATTTTTAAACTTCTAATAACTATTTCATGTAGATGAATTATTGATCCATATATTCATACTCAATCCGAGTAAAATGTTGGTAAGGTCCCAGCACCTCAGAAGGGTAGAAGACTAATAAAAAATGAGAAGGAAGAGAAGGCTGGGAGTAACAAACAATTTAACAAGCAATTTAAGTAAGCCCAAAGTAGAAATGACACAAACTAAAAGAATTCTACTTCGAGGTTCTGGAAATAGCAATGGAATTCCAAACACCTTTTCTCTCTGCCTTCCTGGAGCCAGATTAAATGTTTCCCTTTCCTGAGCTTTAAGCTTTGTGTGGAATATTTCTTTTTTTCAAAAACCCAGTATTTTAATTCGCATCCCTCCAAGAACCAGGTATCCTCTTTCCAAATTGTACTAGGATCAGGCCTATAGACAGTCATTCTAATGCTCCTAAATATTTAACAAAGGAATGCTTTTAAAAATAGGAGAACCACAGTCTCTGTGATGCAATCCATTAGCAAGTTTGGCTATTAACTGAAAGGTTGGTGGTTTGAGCCCATCCAGGGGACGCTGTCTTTTGCTGCGCAGTGACTTCAGCAACTTAGCTAAGCCCTAAACATCTTAATGAGACACTGTCTCAAAATAAAATATAAAGGGGCTGGGGATATAGCTCAGTTGGTAGAGTGCTTGCCCAGCATGCCCAAGGCCCTGGGTTCCATCCTCAGCACCATCAAAAATAAATAAATAAAAATTTAAAAATAAAATAAAAAGGGCTGGGGATATGGCTCAGTGGTTGAGAGCCCCTGGGTTCAATCCCCAGTATGAAAAAAACAAATCATTTTTTCTTGGGAAAAAAATAATACAATTTGTTAAGACATTGTATTTTTCTTTTTTCTCAAATTGAGGTAAAGTTTAGACTCAAACACATGTATCTAAAGTTGACAATTGGCCACGTTTGGATATATTTTTATATATATATATATAAATATAAATAAAATCAATACCCCAGACAAGATAAAAAAAAAATTTATCATACCACAGAAAATTCTCCCCCACACCTGGGTATTGGGGATGGAACCTGGGGTCCCTCACATGCTAGGCAAGCATTCTACCACTGAGCTATTCCCCCAATCCATATCCCAGAAAGTTCTTTCATGCTCCTTTCAATTCAATCATATACCCCATAGGCAATCACTTTTCTATCATCCTATATTAATTTAGTCTACTTTTGAATTTCAGATAAATTGAGCCATGCAGTATATACTTTTTTGTACTTCTTTCAACATCCATTACTTCAATGAGATTCATCCATGTTGAAAGTATCAGCTCACTTTTTAAAAATGCTGAATAGCATTCCACTGTTATCCATTGTACTGAGGACAGACATCTGGGCAGTTTCCAGTTTGGGACTATTATGAATAAAATGGCTATAAACATTTGTATGTGAGTCTTTCTATAGTTATATGTTTTCATAAGATTGAAATGCTGCAGATATATGATTAACATTACAAGAAATTACCATATGGTTTTTGAAGGGGTTGTATCATGAGTATCATTAAATTTTAAATAATGTACAACATTATATTTAATTACAATTCTCACATGTTATTCTAAAAAAGGATTATTTCAGAGATGGACATCATTACCCCAAGTACATGTATGAAGACACGAATGGTGTGAATATACTTTGTATACAACCAGAAATATGAAAAATTGTGCTCTAGGCCTGGGTTTGTGGCTCAGCAGTAGAGTGCTTGCCTCGCACGTGTGAGACCCTGGGTTTGATCCTAAGCACCACCACATAAAAATGAATAAATGAAATAAAGTTATTGTGTCCAACTACAACTAAAAAAAATAAGTATAAAAAATTGTGCTCTATATGTATAATATGAATTGTAATACATTCTGTTGTCATAACAAATTAGAATAAAAAATATATTTAAAAAATAAAAAAGGATTATTTCATATTAGTGATAAGATATACATGCTTTTTAAAAAGCTTACACTCATATTAGTAAAAACTCCATATGGCAATGATGGGAACACAAAACTAAATATAGAATTTCAGATATTTAATAATTACTATAGTTTGGATCTAGAATGTCCCCAAAGGTTCATATGTTGAAGACTTGGTCCCCAGCTGGTGGCACTACTGGGAAGTGGTGGAAACTTTAGGAGGTAGGGCCTAGTTGGAGGAAGTAGGTCACTGGGAGCATGTTCTGGAAGGTTATATCTTGTTCAGTTTCTCTCCCTGCCCTCATCACCACTGCCCCCCAACACATACACACACACACACACACACACACACACACACACACACTTTTGTCTTATTATTTTATTATTCATTCCTTTTGTGTCACTGATTTCATAAACCACGAATTACCCACATGTTTTTTACTGACCTAAAGTTATTACTTTTTTTCTTGACTAATACCAATCCCTCAAGTCTTCTCAGGAGGGTGCCCGGGGAAGGTTACTTTACAAATCTACAGGGAAGGGTAAAATGAACCAATAAACACAATTTGTCTTCACAAATCAAATTAGGAAACATACCCTTCTCTTGGGAACTCCTGTTTTATTTCTACTTGATGATGACTAAGTAGTTCAGCTGTTTTTGAATTGAAAACCTGAAAAAACATATTGCAATATTAGTGTAAAAATGCAAGAAGATATTAAACATGTCTAAATTTATTCAGCAACTGAAGTTCTTGTTCACAGATTTTAATAAGTCCAATCAGATTAAATGATACACAAGATTTTCTCTTCACATGGAATTGTAAAAGTTATAAGACAGCATCAGAAATAACTTCTCCTGCCAGGGTCAAGGGCACATGTCTATAGTCCCAGCCACTTGGGAGGCTGGGGTGAGAGCATCACTTAAGCCTAGGAGTTTGAGGCCAGAGTAGGCAACATAGAGACTAAAGAAAAAGAAAGAAGAAATAAATTCTCCTTAGAAAAGGAAATAAAACAAAAAAACTGAATGAAATCAAAAGAAATAACTTCCCTTTAGAAGAAATGAAACTTATTGAGGGTAAAGGTAAATTTAAGAGAAAATTCCTTAATAAACCAAAATGACTCTGGTTTTAAGAAATTTAATACATCAACCAACTAATAGTATGAACTTCCTTTCAAGAATAGGAAAACTTAATAATAAAAGTGAGCTGATACAATACTAATAGCTATGGCTTAAGGATTCATTCCTCACTCATGTTGGAGATGTAGTCAGGAAGGGTCACATGACACACAGGCAAGGATGCATACTGTGTGGATTCCTTTGAAGGGAAGTGCTGCAATGCCTCTAGCTATCATGAGAGGGAAACAGCACAATCAGCAAAGTAAAGTATATACTGGCCCCAACCAACCAAGCATTCTCTGTGATATCCTTATCATAAACTCCTGACCCTTGAGATAAAACGTGAAAATCAAGGGATGAATACTAACAAAGAACTGCTACATAATCCTCCGTAATTTTAGTGCTACTGAAACATTAACTTTTTTTAAAAAAATTGGCAGATTTTTTCTTATATATTTTCACCTGGTAGTCCCTATACTTGAGTACCAAAGCACTTACTTTTTCAGAGTAAGAATGCATATTTTAATTAAAATTAACTCCCCAAATCACTGTAGTTATAGCAGTGAAATCACTTTCAATTAGTTAAAGAGTTACCATGTCTAGGTTTCCTGTGGGAGAAAATTACCTGTTCAACAAAGGCTAGGAAAAGATGAAGTAAAACACACTGTGACCTGTTGCCTCCCTCCCTCCTCATATGCACACCCTCTTTTCTGGGAAAAAAAGGATAAACATAATGAAACCCAGAGGGCAAATTCTAAAGTTCTCAGAGGAGATAAAATATCTTGCAAGTCAAAGGTTAATCCAACACATTCTAAATAAAAGACACCTGGCAGAACCCCAAGTAACATCCCTGCAATTATAACTTTGCATTAAGGTATGAGATCTAGGATGTCAGCTCCATTTGTTCTGTTTTATTCACTGAAGCATGCCTAAGACCTAGAAAGGTATCTTGCATAGAACTGGTGCACCACAAATATTTGTTAAAGTTCTAAAAAACGGTCTGTCACAAGCACTTATTAGAAGAAAAATTATCAAATCAAATAAAAGAATTATCAACGACAATTATATTATTTTTATTCATATCACTGCTGCTCCCTTTTAACTCTCAATTCCCCAAAGGAGTTTGGGTCAAGGGACATGAGGTGTCCCTTTTTGCTGGTTGAATTAATAAAGACCTCATAGCAAACAGAGGGGACTCTGAATGAACTGGGATCCCTCTTCCATCACCTCCTACTTTTAACTAAATGAACTTCAGGACCTCGTGCTAAACATGAATTCATAGGCGTTTGAAATAGACACAGAAAACAGAAGAATTTTAGCAAGCTCTATGTGTTGTATTAAGTAAAACATGATGCCATCCAATAACACAGTATTTATAACCCTACTTTATAGAGCTCTGAACCTTAGGCAGGTACCACTACCAAGTCTGTGGGATACTTTATAGGTTTAAGATTTTCAGAATCTGAAACTTCTCAATATAGCACTCTCCAATAAAATATAATGCAAGCCATAAACGCCAAGTCAAATATGTAATTAGGTACTGGGGATAGAACTCAGGACCTCACACAAGTGCTATACCACTGAGTTATGTCTCCAATCCTTTTTTATTTTTATTTTGAGACAGGGTCTTAACTAAGATGACCAGGTTAGCCTTGAATTTACAATCCTCCTGCCTCAGACTCCCAAGTAGCTAGGATTATAGGCATCCAAATGTGTAATTTTATGTTTTCTCATAAAACCAGTAAAAAGAAACCAGTGAAATTAATTTTAATAATATATTTTATTTAAGTCAATATGCCTATACATGATTATTTCAACATGTGATGAATGTTAAAAAATTATTAATAAGATCATTCACTTTTAATGCTGTTTTTGAAATCTAGCATATATATACACATACATTTTATATATATATACATACAAACATTTTATATATATATACATACATACATTTTTTTTTTTGCAGTGCTGGGGATCAAATCCAGGGTCTCATACATGCTCAGCAAGCATTCTCCCACCACTTTACACTCCCCATCCCAGAACTAGCCACATGTGGCTAATGACTATTGTATTGCACAAACTCCTAGAGTACTTTTTTCTTACATTATCTAGGTTTACAATAAGGATTATAATGAAGCCTCCTGGATGTCCTTTTGTCTGCAGCTGGAAAAAGGTAGAAAGAAAGCTAATGATGTTTCCACAAGATTCTATGATGGAGAGTAACTATCTCCACATGAGAACACATTGCCCAGTAGCAAGAATACTAGCTGGGTTTCATTAAGATTTCAAAAAGCATGCAGATTAAAGATGACAATAGCTGTATAATTTGTTTTATAAAATGCCTAGCATGGACATTTGTTTAAAAATCATTTGATGGGGGCTGGGGATGTGGCTCAAGTGGTAGCGCGCTTGCCTAACATGCATGAGGCACTGGGTTCGATTCTCAGCACCACATAAAAATAAAATAAAAATGTTGTGTCCACCTAAAACTAAAAAATAAATATTTTTTAAAAATCATTTGATGGCAATGGCCAAACATTGCAGAATTACAGATACTCCTTACTTTTTAACTCACTTTTCAAGTTTGAAATTCACCAAACTTAAAGGTCAATTAAAGCTTCTGATACACAACAATATAGACTAGAAGAGTATCTTTAAGAAAAAAAATTAGGGGCTGGGGCTATAGCTCAATGGCAGAGCACTTGCCTCGCATGTGTGAGGCACTGGATTCGATCCTTAGCACCACATAAAAATAAGCAAATAAAACAAAGGCATTCTGTTCGTCTACAACTACAAAAAAATTTTTTAAAGAAATTAAAAGGAATAATTAAGACACAGCAGTCCATGGGAGTTAGTAGGCATGTTAGAAATCCTGTGGCCCAGCATTTTCAGAATGTGCTTACTGCACCTCCAGAAGTTGGGAAAGAGGGACAGGGAGCAGAAAAAAAAAATGGTTAGCAATGGAGTTCCAAGGTGAAAATTAAATGACACCACCAACTCAAACCCATAGCCCTAATATAATACTCTCATATTTACAAGGTGAGATCCAGGAGGTTAGATAATACTGAAAAACAGAACTAAGCACCAGGTTTTTTGAATACTAATTCAATACTTTTTGGGTTCAAAATCATACTGATACAATTCACAATTTTTAATCACCCATTAAGTGGCAGTGAATACAAATAAGCCTTATAATTGCATAGGGCTGCCAAGGGCTATGAAGAGGAGAAAAGTCATCTTCTGATTAGGACATGTGGGAGTCAGAAGAGCTCCCCAAACAGGTAACTTCTAAAGTAGGACTTCAAATTGAACAGATGTGAATTCACGTGGGAGACAAAGTACAGATATACAGGGTGTACAAGTGGGCGAGGGTACACACTGCTATCTACTGTTTAGGGAGGTGAGGCTGGGGCCAGGAGAGCAGTCAAAGTGTGTCTGTAGAGATCCTGGTGAGCTGCACAAGACTCCAACTAGGACAGCAGCAGAAATAGGGATTGAGAAGAGTGAAATGTAAACGCAGAAGTATACACAGGAAAAGAAGGAACACTCAGGGATGATAGATTCCAGGTTAGCACAAATAAGTAAGCAATGTTTCCAAGCCAAGGGACAGGGTAGAGCAGTAGCTGCAGGACAGGAATAGGTAATGAGTTTGCAAACTTCATTTTAGATATTGTGTGTTTGAGGTGTTGCTCTGTTAGAATGGAGATGCCCAGCAGTCAGTTGCTTCTATTTTTAGGTCATAAGTTTAAAGAAAGAGATTCATTCTCAGAATTTCATGTGGGCCAGGAAGGCAGATGAGAATTTCATGTCTGCCGTAATGTAAAGGTGAAGAACACAGGGCTCAGAGGCACACAGATTTGGGAAAGTCAAGCCCCCAGTCCTGCCCATGTCAACAGTTTAAGAGGCTCAATTTTTCTACCTGTAAAAGGACTGAGTAAAATTATTTAAGAAGATTATTTAGCACAGAGCAAACACATTATATATATATATATATATATATATATATATATATAGTGTATGCATATATATGTATATACACATCCATACACATCATACTATATATAAATGTTATCACTATAGTTGGTACTACTACTGTTACTACTTATTACTATTATTAGTACAACCACCAACAACATCAATATGTCAGTTCTAGATTCATCACCGTAAATCATGTCTTAATTCCAGATTTTGTTTTGGGGGGGAAGGACAATTAAAAATAGAAGAGGAATTGGGGTTTTAGCTCAGTGGTAGTATACTTGCCCAGTATGTGGGAGGCCGTGGGCTAAAGGAGGAGAAGAAGCAGCAGGAGGAGAAGGAGGAAGAAGAGAAAGGGAGGAGGAAGAAAAAGAAAAAGAAACAAGGGAAGTTAATGTAGGAAAAGAATTTAGTAAAGTGCAGATACACAGTATACACTCAAGTGATATTACTATTACTGTAGCTGCTACCATTACTGTTACATTATTGTGTTTTATTACCACTAGTACCTATAAGTGGTACAAGTCACCAGGTGTATATTCACCCCATGCCTAAATTATGACTCAATTCTAGGTTTGG